TAAGAAAAAATGTAAAGCCCATGTAAAGTATTTTTCGATGATCCACTTGCACGTACCAAATAGAATTTTTCTTGGAAAGACCCAATTATTACATTGTTATTGTTCACGACCTTAGTCGCATGTGAAGCGAAAACAAATAATATCGGAACTAGACTCCTTGAGTCTTCCATCGGTAACCCAACGAGAGAAATCGGATACGTCATCAAAAGTAATAAACTCGTTATAAGAGCATACTTTCATAGGTACCTACATATACATGTGGGTGCGATGAAAAAAAAAAAAAAAAAAAAAAAAAAAAAAAAAAAAAACTGAAGATGCAGCTACATGTCGGGGTGGATTGATTTTGTACTCGAAACTTTTCTGCACTTGCTGTCGTTGGCATATACGTACACGGTACGAATGTAATGTCAAGAATTCTTAACCCGAATGTATACCCACGTACTTATATACGACAATTTGAGTAGGAGCGGAAGGGAAGTCAAACGTATATACACAGTATGTTATGTAGTAAGTGTGACCACACACATACAAAAGAGAAGGTTGAGCCCGACTCTCCGACTTGTTGAGCGCTGTATCGATAGACGTCGATATTAGTACATACAATACGATTCGACGACCAACGAAAGACGAGAGTCAGAGCCCGTACCAATGCTCATGACCCATGTGATGATTGCGTGTGGGTGTGCACAGGAACTTGGTCGTGAGAACGGTCGAAACATGTGGGCCACAGTGACGCGGTCTCTGGAAATTCTGGTGGCCTTCTTCGAGTATTACACCGTGAGGTACGTAAAATTTCCTTATTCACGCACAAATGTTTCTCTTGAAAATAATGGTAAGACCCGTGCCATTTTTTGTTGCCCCTGATGCGATCGCATTACTTTTAGAGCAGATTATTTTGTGTTGGCAGCAACATGGGGTGTACAAAAATGTCTTTTTTTTTTTTTTTTTTTTTTTTTAACCTCTGACGTTTGCTGCATTCTCGGCGGGAAAAATTTTGTCCGAGACGGGTGTGCATCCAACCAGGGCAAGCACTGGTTGAAAAAACAATACTAATGTTCCGTGTGCGAAGTTCATCTTCTTGTGTCTGATGCACAAAGGCACGCAAAGTCGAAATTTTCCCACAATGAGTGTCAAAAAATAATGTTCGTACGTGATGACGTGGTCACAGAGTGATCAATTTTAATGACATTGTGCATGTCGAGAGGTGATGACACTATTTTTCAACACCCTAAAGGTTACAATAAATTTTTTTCTCTTCACATTTTTTTTTACGTCAATTATTTTTGTACGTATTAGTAAAATAAAGGAGCACGAATATAACGAGCTGCAGCTATACATAGTGCAGAAGCTAATGTATCCAAATCACTCATTGTCTATGCGGTGTACCACCAAAAGGAGAGGTAACGTATACCACCTGCCTCCTGAAATTCAATGTATCAACAATTGTGCAAAGGAAAATGTACGTTCTCCCATCGTCTTTTGAAAGTGGACCTGTACTCGATTATCCCGGAATACATATTCTTCTGTGCATTCAAAGGGCTCGTTACAAAATGCATTTCCTCGTACCGATGAAGAATAAAAATTAAAGTAACCCCGAGACGGGGTTAAATTTTTAATTAAACAAGGATACAATAGCCAGTGCAAACAACGGTCCGTCGCATATATGCGTTCAGAAATCCAAGTGAGCAAATTAAAAGAAAAAAACATACTTTTATCGGAAAAATACAATTAATACTTGATAAGGGAGAAAATCAGCTTTTGCTATTCTTACAACGTTGTCGAGACGGTGAACCGTACGTAGGTGCTCGATGTATTTTTGTATTATCGGGGCGGTGCACGCGCTACGTAATTCTACAATCTCGCCGCTCGATATAACTCTCCCCCCTCGCGGCTGCTCTCTCTGCTCGCTTATTACCTCCTCCCGCGTGTGAGCGCCGTGTAATCTAACGGCCTCGCGCGCCCATCTCGACGCTGCCTCTTTTCTTTTGCCACCCCCTTTTCATGACCCGCAGCTCGCTTTAATTGTCCATCGCGATTAACTCTATTTTTTTTTTTTTTTTTTTTTTCATACGCAACTCTGAAATGATACATGCAACGTTACGTGGCTTGATTGTGGAAGCTCGTCAAAAAATATGAATATGATTACAAAATTTAAAAAAAGCGCAGGAACGATCTCAATTTTTGTCTGAAACACGTTTCCGCTCTACTTCGCGCGACACTATAACAGCAGCGAGTTTTCCCCTTTCCGGTCCAATGAGTTCGGACAGCGTGACAAAAGAACGGAGACTCTAGAAAACACCACCGAAATAGCTCGCACGGGAGACGTCCCAGTACCATCATCCACTTTGACCGATATGCTTGACTTTTCCGGCTCCGCCAATTTCTTTCCTCCTCCAATTTTTTTTTTTTCAAGGAGTGAACTGGTTACGAGACAAGCAAGACAGTTTACATGACTTGTGCTCCATGGGAGTATATACTCGAGACTTGGTGAATAATCCCACAAAATGTGTTATTCATACTATTCTCACAACTACAAAGTGAATTGTTCAGTTTAGAAATTTAGTTCTGTTTTATGCGTATGCGTTTTCGCGAGTAAACTAAATAACTTTTAATCAACCCAACGATTTACGCGCAGCTATGACCCTAATGCACATAATATGTTGCGTTGATGCGCACTTTTAATGAAGAATCACAACCGCCACTCGTCAAATTAGCGTACACGCAAGAGACGAGAATCACGCTTTAAAAAATTATAAAACTTGATCTCCAGTTTCGACCTCCGCATCCGTTTTGCCAACTTTTTTCCCAGCCAAACGAGATGTACGATCTTTTTAAAAGTTTCCACCACTCGGGGCGCGTCAACTTTTATCTCTGCGCAAATTACCAGCAATCAACCCCCTTCCCTTGTACACCTGTCCTTTCGGCCGAGTTTTCCTTTGAAATCGCGCCAAAGTATCTGCTAATCTTCGGAAATTGCCTTCTCCTCCAACAAAATCCTTCCTCATCCGGTTGCTCCGGCGAAAGTCATCAACCCTTGCGAGCGCCATTGTATAATAATAATAAGACGAGCCCGGCAACGTTGGCTTGATTAAAAAAGCAGCTATCGATTCACGAATGAATATGCATGAGGGGGAAAAAAAACGAGGGCTCGCCGAGTTTTTCCATTACAGCCGGCAGAGCGCGGATAAAGGGGATCCATCGATCCGCGGACTAGGATTTACCCGGGGGGACTTTTTCGAGCATTGAAAATTACATTTCACGAATAAAGCTGGAAAAAGTGTAAACACGTGCAACGAGAGAAATTCTTATAAGTATTAAAAAGATGAAGCATACAAGATGGTGAAAAAAGGCACAATAGTGGCAATCCCAATATCAAGGAATATCCATATGTTTCCGTATTGCACGCCACGCAACTTTATTAGGGAGTCTATTTTTATTACTTATTTTCCTCACATGAATTACCTCTCTGCAACCTCTTTTATACTGTTCACACTTATACTATATATATATATATATNACAAAAGGTGCGGTGTGACCAATTAAAAAAAAGGAAGTGCAGATAAACGATTTTTTTGACACTTCTAGAAGCTGTAACTATTACTGCACAATTGCTTATTATCATCATTATTATTATATTGTTATTATGATTATTATTATAATTGTGCTTATTATTGTTGTTATTATTAGTATTGTGCTTATTATTATTATTATTATTATTATTATTATTATTATTGTTATTTTTTTCTTTATAGAGCGCACGCACGATCGTTAGATACATACATATATATTTATATATTACACCTGTACCATAAATATACATCAACATAATATTTATACGCACGGAAAAGTGTGTCTTTTGTCATGAATTGTATGCGTCCCACATACAAGAACGCAACGAAGATATAATGTACCTGCTATAAATAAATAAGTACGGAGGTAATATGGTATATAATTACTGCATAAATACGTACACGCGATAGGCACGGGTGATACCGAGAAATGTTACGAGCTACACTCTCTCGTCTCACTTGGAAAATTTTCTGTGAGTCTCGAAAAAAAGCTCAAGACTCTCGGACTTGAAAAAATTTTTTTTTTTTTTTTGTATCTGTATACTTTTCTTCGAGATTGCCAAGAGTCTCGGTTCCCATAAGGTACCACATAGACCTGATACGAGGTGTATCCACATGCAGAATTGTAACGATAACAAGACAAGCATGCCGTCGTCGTTTTGTCGAGGAGTGCATAATATCACGTCGCTGCAGCGAATCTCGCTCCGCTGAATCGACACGGATTAACTAATGGAAATCCTCGCGTCCAGCAAAAAGTCAAGACACCCGCGCTCAGCTTCACCGGCCTGGAACGCAAAGGAGGCACGACTAGACAGAAGTGAGCCAGTGCAATGGAAAGCCAAAAAACAAAGAGCCCGAGAGGGAAGAAAGTGGACGCAGCGGTACACGGATAGTGTGTACGACAAACGACTTCCTCGCACCTTCGAAATTAAGTCGGATCAGCGAAGCGCGGAGGCACGCGGTCTCGTGAAATGCACTGCCTGCACCTGTATACCTGCCATCTCAACGAGCTGCCAACGCTCCTATGGAAACACACGTGCGTCGTCGTTGTACGCTGAAACTTACGGTGTACAATAAAATCTCGGCAAGCTTATTCTCCCGAATGCGAGGCGAGGGTAGATTATTGGCTAAGGTAACCGCGTGCACCTGCTGTTCAGTGGCGAGGGTATTTTACACGTGCCAACAAAACTTAAACGGGATGGAGGGTGGGTGGGGTGGAAAGACAAAAGCCATAAACGCAACAAACACTGCACGCGTAATGTGTGTGTGTGTGTACTTATACATACATACATATATATATATATATATATACAGCCCAGCAGCTGCGGGCGTACGAAACAGAGCTAACGTGCTTCCTCCTCTTTTATGTTCCATGTCCCGCCTCGCTTCTTGGATCGTGTGTGTAAACTCGACTGTGTAACGCATACGCAGAGCGCAGCTAGAGTGAGTATCCGCATAGCGTTTGAAAAACCCGCTTCTGTATATATACAACATATACCTAATGTCTTGTGTTTCCACGTACCATATACGCAACCACATACACACACTACATATACAAATCCGTACACATTTTTCACCCTTTGTCGCCAAAGAGCTCAAACAAAGGGGGAGGAAGAGAGACGCCCATCCCGGCATTTTGCTCTCTCTCTCTTGCCTCCCCTGTTGGCGAAGCGGAGGAGTTCCCTCTTTCGCGCCATTATCACAAATGCTTGGCTAAGCGCTTGGTTTGCTTTTAAGAGGATTTCGAAAATGGCTAAATTTCGCGCTGCGCGACTCTCGAGACTTACTTGATATTCGAGGGAGTCTCGAGGCAACGGCATTACCCGTCTTTTTCTCCGGATAAAATTTTATCATTGGCACGCGTCCTCTTGAAAGCGGAGCGTCGCTTTCGTTTGTACGAACCTGCCTGCCTGTGCATGCTGTTTTTTATATTGCTCGAGCTGTACATCGTAATTCTGTCTTTTCATCCTTTCAATCACACTGGAAGGGGGCTGTTGTTTACACACTTTTCGTTAAAAGTGTGTTTTTTTTTTCCTCCCTTCCCTCCGATCTGTACAATTTTTTTCACCTCGCCGAGGGGTGTGTACTTTTTTCCATCCCATTAATGAACTTTCCCTCCTTTCGGGCGTCCCTCCCGCGAGTGAGAGGAAAAAAACAATCTCACCTTTTGTTCTACCCCGTGAATCTTATTATTTACTTTCTCCCTGCAAAGTAGAAGACTCTCGGTGTATCTATACAAAGAGTTTGAGCGAAATTGATTGTTTTTATTCCTTTTTTGTTTTCCTCGCTTAACTCAATATCGCCGTGTGTACGCGCGCCCCTTTGATTTATCGGATTACCGTTCTAGTCTACGTTTTTCTTTCGAATAATACGCTTGAACAGAAGAACAATCAATTTTATTTTTATTAATATTGCCCACACCTTGGGAATACTCTGAAAAACTATTGTAACATATACGAGATGGTCTGGTATAAAATATATCGTGTCTGACCAATTTGGTGTTTTTCTACTGAACTTTGAATACGACACCGCCACGCACATGTAGTAAAATACTTTGAGCAAAAAAAGTTTTTCACGAAAATCCCTCACATCTGTGTTGGCGCACTTTTCACCGGAAAACTCGATCACACGCACAACACTCCACTCGACGAACGAAGGGAAGAATGAAAATTTAGAAAAAAGGAAATAAAATCATCGTAATTTCATCAGCCATTTAAAACTGCCAACTTTACTAGCGAAGCTTTTTCCGAATTTCATTCGCACCGGTGAAAGCACTCCACAGCCACGATCCAACACGATAACCTTTTTCTCACAAACTAAATTTATTTTTATCGAATCCATCACGGACAAGCATTGGATGTTGCAAAAAGGACCCGTATGTACATCCACACACGAAAATTCGCACAAAAACAACTCTAGTCACACTGTTCACGTAAATGGACCAATAAAAAATAAACCAAAACGAAAACAATCCTAGCACTCACCAACGACCTCAAAAAAAAAAAAATAAATAAATAAAAAAAAAAAACTAATTGGCTCTATTTTTCCCGCACCAACGCAGAACGACAGGCAGTCCCGGAAGCAAGTCGCCGGCGGGGGTGAGCGGTGGCCCGGCATCGGCGACCGGCAGCAGTGGCACGGCGGTGGGCCCCGGTGGAGAGCCTCGAACGCCCACCACTGGCCCCCAGAACAAGCAGCTGGCGAACGTCAAGGGCGAACACCCTTCGGTAAGTTAGTTTTTTTTCACGTGCAAAAAAAAACGGACTAGTGCCAATACCTCTCGGAGGACGTTTTTCGCAAGTATTTTTTGTACATCTGTACTTGAAGCTTTTCGATTTACAAGCGAAGCTGGGACCATTTTCATTGAAGTTTCTCGCGACCTACTTTGCGTTATGAGCGGTATAATTGAATTCGTTAACATTCCCTTTGAACTCAAAATATTGGATAGGTACTATTGCCTGCGTAACTGCAATGATATTAAATTACAAGCCAACGTGTACTATCGATTTGGTTTCCACAGTCACTGGGACTCGAAATTTTCACGTAATAGCAAAGGGTAAAAAGTGTACTCCGGCTGTACCCGTGTACGCGGAGATGTTTCAAGCACGTCCGGGATAACCCGAAAAATGCCAACCGAGCCTAATCCTCCTCTCCTCCTTGTCCCAGTGATACACCTCGTAATCCGTACATCTCCACTGGCGTTGCAAGGAGGATCAAAAGCAGGAAGGATTTCACTCGCAGCTCCTTCTCTCATATTATTTTCCACTTTTTAAACGTTCATCTTCCTCGTCCCTTTCCGAGGGTACGCCTCAAGCTGCACAAAGAAGACACTGTCTCTTTTTATTTTTTCTCCTTAATCAACGACACCGAATTCTTTCTCCTCGTGGCCTTTTGTCGGAATTAATGAGCGATTATCCCGGGCGCGTCGCTAAACGAGACCCGACAGTTTTCTGGCGTGAAAGGACAGTGTGGGTGACAAAGGGAGCCCGAGCTGATGGCGGTGTACAGCTGAAGGACGGGAAAATTAGACCCTGGCACCAATTTCGTTCTTCTCCTTTTATTTTTGATATTTTTTTTTTTTTTTTTATACTTTTTCATTTCTCGGTTCGAAGGGTTTCGTAACCAATGTCATTTTTTCCTTTACTCCCAATTGCATTTTCCACGTAACTTTTACTCGCAGAGTTGCGATTAAAAAGCGTTGGTACGAACTACGTAGGTATACTTTGAACATATTTTGTCCCTTTGAAATTTTTACGACAAAATGAAAGGGAGCTTCGCGTGCAGCCAACTCATACACGGAATTTAAAGTTTTTTCAAAGTAAAAGTATATATCGGTACTTTTGCGAGAAGAAGCAAATTTTTGTTATTCGCAATTCGCGTTTCTCGGATGGAGCTTGGAAGAAACGAGACAAACAACGAAAATAAGATAAACACGGGGCACGTATACACCAATGTCGGAGGCGATCGATGGAGCAAAGTTTTCTCAAAGCCGAAAGAAAAGGCGACATATCCAGGGGCTAAAAGTAAAGTGGGCTGTGGTAAAATAATCGTCAAACTAACGATTTTTTGTCTCTCTCTCTCCTGTGCATTGCAGAAGGCCTTTTTGCAGAGCAGATCTGTCTCGCTGGTCGACATGTACATCGACAACGCGGAGCCCACTGAGAACGTCGGGCAGATCCACTTCAGCCTCGAGTACGACTTCCAGAGCACGACGCTCATTTTGCGCATCATACAGGTAAGCGGGGGGTAGTCGACGGTAAATGCGGTAAAAGAAAAGAGGGCTACAATTTTTTTTCTCCCTCCCTCCCCTGTACACTCGACCTCCCCGTTCCGTTCGACTGTATAATGGTACGACATGCTCTCGGCTTTGCATTATTTAGTTGGGATACTCCCCGGCTCGTGCCGCGCGCATGCATAGATAAAGCGCTCTGACTCTTTTCGAACGCCGCCATTGTTTATCATAGAAATTAGACGTTTTTTCTGGGAATTCAACGCCAAGCTTGAACAAGTTCATTTTCAAACCATCAATTACCCCCTCGTCGTCCCCACGAGATCGGATCGGAGCATGTGCACGTATGCGCGGAAGGTTAAGACAATACATTTTTTTTTAACTACCTCCTGTGAGTACATGTACATATTAAAAATATACCAGCACTCATAGATAATATAAGGTTGCTCGAAATCGTTTCACCGATACCCGTGCGAGAATCTATAAGTGTAATGCGATTTCAAACTTTCCAATCGGGCTCTCGTGGTGCTTCTCCCATATTTTTTCCGCATTCGATTTTCGAGCCCAGATTTCGCTGGGAAAAAAAATCGAAGAAACATTGGGGTAAAAAAGCGCTGCATATCTAGGGACTTCCATCGGGAAAACGGAAGGAAAAGCTGTTTCGCTCGATCGCCGCTGGTGTTTCACCGAATCTGTGTATAACGTACATGTGCAGTCGATGCACCAAAGAGCGGAGGGAGAAAAACAAAAGAGTCCAGTCGGCTGGGTTTTTTTTTACGTGGCAGCTTCGACAGCGCGTTGAGCTGCTCGATGGAATTAAAACAAAAGCCTTGGCGTTTTTTTATCGAACGGGACGTGTTACGTCGGCGCTTTTATTGGGAAACAGCCCGGCTCCATCGTCAGCGAGGTGAAAATGGAATGGCTTTTCAATTTTTCCAATCGTCCTTCGACCCTCACTCGCTCATTTAGTGCGCGGCTATTTCAGCTCGTCGCGATGAAATATCGATGCTCCCCGAGATCTCGACGAAGAAGATTCTTTTTTTCCCCTTCTCGCTCTTTGAGAGTAAAATCTTTGAAATACCTCTGCGCTGCAGCATCGACTCCCTTCGGAAATGCCTTTTTCCTCGGCGCAACTAGCTCTTGGGAGCGCACTCCACCGTTACGTGTGAACGATTAATTTTTTCTCATCGTGTTTTCAGGGCAAGGACCTGCCAGCGAAGGATTTGTCCGGCACGTCCGATCCTTACGTGAGGGTGACTCTGCTGCCCGACAAGAAGCACCGCCTCGAGACGAAGATCAAACGGAGGACCTTGAACCCTCGGTGGAACGAGACCTTCTACTTCGAAGGTAACCCCATAAGCCGCATCCTTAAACGGGGGGGGGGGGGCAAAGCCATCGAACTCCCAATGTTTGGTTTACAGATTTGATGTACAGCGTCGCGAAGAATATCCCCCTAAACTCGAGGCCACTCTTTCCGTGGCTGTTTATGATATCGTGGGTAGGGAGGCGCGACGGGATCGTTTTTTCCCCCTCGGATGTATATCGCCTTTCCCGCCCCGGAGAGAGATCCGTCTTGTACGGATGCTGGGTGAAACCGATGGAGCGTCTCCAACTTTTCTCGGGTTCGGCTGTCGGGGGATGATGCATGTGCCAAGTAATCAATGCCGGGTCGCGTTACTCTTTCTCCGATGGACCGAGACTTTGGATTTGGTTTTTCCCGTGACTCTGGTTTACTCGTTGGCGGAAAATTAATTTCGGATTGAACTGCTAACGAGAATTTCGATCAAACTGTTACGTAAAATACACGGATGTACACGTCGCGTCGATTGACTTTAGTTATTGAAATGAATTGGAAGGGGGCAAGAGTTAGGAGTCTTTAGTTTTTTTATTTTTTATTTTTACAATAATCTAAAAAAAAGAGGAAGGGCACGGTAAGGAGGGGAAATAATTAAAGGGGAAAAAAAACAGCGGCAGCGGCAGGTAATTAGTTAACTATTTGAGTTGCAAGCTCCGTTAGCCAGCGAGATCCGAGAGTTGGGAAAAGAGAGTCTCCAAGAAAATTAGAAGCCTGGCGGAAAATCCGGCTCGACTACCATATTTTTTTTTCCTCCGGTATATATATACGCGGTAGTGAAAAAAGAAAAAGCTTTTTTTTTCAAGTCAAAGATTAAGTGAGCGCGCGCAACGGGGCTGGGAGGGGGGAAGATGGACGAGAGGAAAATGAGACGACCCATGGAAGAGGGAAGGGGGGGGGACTACGTATGTATATACGTGCACTCTTTCGCGGCCTTGACACCTCTCGCGCTCAGTCGGGCGTGCAGGAGCTTTCAGCGCTTTTGCTCCCTCCCCCGTCTGACCGAGCGCAGACATTGACTACTTGAATGTACATGCGAGCTAAGAGAAGCCGAATCTTGCTGTTTTTTATTTTTTACCTCTTAAGAAGTCACGTGGATGGGAGACAAGTCGAAAATCTAAAAATCTCCGGGATTTTTCCAATTACATCTCGAGTGGGGGGTTATTATTCTTTACCCTTAATAATAGAATATATTACGGAATGGAACGATTTTCCTATGTTAGCAACTGCTCGCATGTTTCAATTCGTGACTGTCAATGGCACTCCAAGTGGGTCCCATCTCGAAAATAAAAACAGTATAAGAATCCACTAACGTTTTCTCTTCCCCCAGGTTTTCCCATTCAGAAGCTCCAGAGCCGCGTTCTCCACCTCCATGTCTTTGACTACGATAGATTCTCGAGGGACGACTCCATAGGCGAGATGTTCTTGCCGCTCTGCCAAGTAAGTCGCTCCTCCATTAGTACTCTCTCTCTCTCTCTCTCTATCCACGTGAAACTCCCTGACTGCAATATCCTATAAGCTCTCCATTGATAACTCAATATTCGCTTGGAAAGCCACCCTCTCGGCGCCTCGTATAATTTCATAACTCGCAATCAGCCCCCCATGCCACCGTGTGTGTTTATACATATACGCGTGTCTCACCCTTATCCAACCACCACTGGTGGGTACTTTGCATCGGTTTCTTGTCAGTTTTTGGCTGTACATGCAGACACTTTGAAATTTACTCGTGTATTTTTCTCTCCTTCCAGCCTTTTGACCCCTTGCTATTTATTATTATTATTATTGTTATTTTTTTCTTTATAGAGCGCACGCACGATCGTTAGATACATACATATATATTTATATATTACACCTGTACCATAAATATACATCAACATAATATTTATACGCACGGAAAAGTGTGTCTTTTGTCATGAATTGTATGCGTCCCACATACAAGAACGCAACGAAGATATAATGTACCTGCTATAAATAAATAAGTACGGAGGTAATATGGTATATAATTACTGCATAAATACGTACACGCGATAGGCACGGGTGATACCGAGAAATGTTACGAGCTACACTCTCTCGTCTCACTTGGAAAATTTTCTGTGAGTCTCGAAAAAAAGCTCAAGACTCTCGGACTTGAAAAAATTTTTTTTTTTTTTTTGTATCTGTATACTTTTCTTCGAGATTGCCAAGAGTCTCGGTTCCCATAAGGTACCACATAGACCTGATACGAGGTGTATCCACATGCAGAATTGTAACGATAACAAGACAAGCATGCCGTCGTCGTTTTGTCGAGGAGTGCATAATATCACGTCGCTGCAGCGAATCTCGCTCCGCTGAATCGACACGGATTAACTAATGGAAATCCTCGCGTCCAGCAAAAAGTCAAGACACCCGCGCTCAGCTTCACCGGCCTGGAACGCAAAGGAGGCACGACTAGACAGAAGTGAGCCAGTGCAATGGAAAGCCAAAAAACAAAGAGCCCGAGAGGGAAGAAAGTGGACGCAGCGGTACACGGATAGTGTGTACGACAAACGACTTCCTCGCACCTTCGAAATTAAGTCGGATCAGCGAAGCGCGGAGGCACGCGGTCTCGTGAAATGCACTGCCTGCACCTGTATACCTGCCATCTCAACGAGCTGCCAACGCTCCTATGGAAACACACGTGCGTCGTCGTTGTACGCTGAAACTTACGGTGTACAATAAAATCTCGGCAAGCTTATTCTCCCGAATGCGAGGCGAGGGTAGATTATTGGCTAAGGTAACCGCGTGCACCTGCTGTTCAGTGGCGAGGGTATTTTACACGTGCCAACAAAACTTAAACGGGATGGAGGGTGGGTGGGGTGGAAAGACAAAAGCCATAAACGCAACAAACACTGCACGCGTAATGTGTGTGTGTGTGTACTTATACATACATACATATATATATACACACACACACGTAATGGGACGTATTTTCCGATCTTAATTGAATCGAGATCTAAATGTTGATTTATTTGGTTAATCCCGATGCCCCACTGCACGAGAGTGAAATTCAATCCAAGGAAATGGTTTCAGGTGGAAAGAAAGGCACAANTATTATTATTGTTTTGCAACGCGACTCCGATACTAATTGCCTTGCGCTTTTTTTCTCTCAAACGCAGTATGCGTTTCCATCGTGGCACTTGGAAACAGGTACTGTATCTTTTTAAAATTTTCCCCGCTGCGCTCGTACGTATCCTTGTAAAATAAAAATGCAAATATGCGTTACCACGATAGCCGAATATAACGCGCCAGTTGCGGGAAACCCAACCCTGGTGATGGTGTTTTTTTGTTGTTGCTAGCAAACGCGACTGGCTCTGTAATATTGAATTTTAAAACTCCACTTAATTTCCATGACTGCCATCTGCATCAAATTTCGTGACTTGTTGTTGTTTGTTTTTTTTTGTAATACCGTTCGTCTCGCGATAAAGGTAAAATTGCGTACAAAAATTGAAAATCACACCAGTTCGACGATTTACGGCGTCGTAAAACCCTCGAGGAAAAATTAAAAAACTCGGAGGCACCGGTTAATATACGCCAATTCGGTGCAGCGGAGAGGATGCAATTTTCGGCTCGGGTGTCCCCTTCGACTCGTAAAAACTATTGCGAAAGCCGTGCCGTCGAGCGATCCTCCATTGTGTTTCCATAAATTCGGTCTGCGAGACGGGAAGAGGGGAACCGCTCCTTCGAACTCATCTCTCGGGTAACACCTGACGCGACGCTGCGAAACGGCACGTACGAAGCTGACGTCGGGAATATTCGCAAGATATTGCCAGAGAACGAAATGAAAGTACACGCGACGGAAGGAATACAGTTATTTGGATGACGGGTCTGGCGCCTTTGGAAAATATTAATCGTCGATCGGTGCGCGTAATAGAACGTTTTTAGTAAAGTAAAAAAAAAAAAAATCGAAGGAAAGTTCACTGTGACGTTGCACCAACGTAATACCAACTGCGCATTTAAATACCGATACCGGTTGGACGAGCATTGCACGTGCACGGTATATCTTACCGGTACCCAGAGGCACGTCCCTATACAAGTACGACCGGGGACACGCGTCTGCAAGACGAAGCGGAAAAGAGGCTCTACCGCTTCTTCCCTTCCGATAAACATATACGTATATCCAGGTTAAGGGAAGACAAGCGCGTAATTGAACGTCTGTCACGAGAGAGGAGGACAGCCGGGTCGTACGTGTGTACAGTCTATGCGTGTACCTAATGACACGTGCGCACGTGTGTGCAGGTCGATCTCTCGGAGAAGCCGTCGTTCTGGAAAGCCCTGAAGCCACCGGCGAAGGACAAGTGCGGCGAGCTGCTCTGCTCGCTCTGCTACCACCCGAGCAACTCCATACTCACGCTCACGCTGCTCAAGGCCCGGAACCTCAAAGCCAAGGACATCAATGGGAAATCGGGTGAGTCCCCGTACATATACCATACATACGTATAGTCATTGTCGTTACGCTTGTACCGTCCACCCCCTTGTCTGCCGCACCCTCCTCTCTCTCTCTCTGGGGCTTGTAGCTATAGCGATGGAAAAGCCTTTTTCCCCCAGAGTCCCTTTGATCCGGGATGAATCGGGCGCGCGAGTTTTAGAGCCGGCAGCTCGGTGGCTTCGGCGCCACGAAAACTTTTGCTCCGAGCCGGCAGAGTGACGTTAAATCTTGGTTATTCGTAGAGAGAGTGAGGTATATATACGTCTTTTTTCTCCCGTCTCTGTTTGGCTTGTATTTTTGTCGTGTACCGTACTCGCTCCGATGCATCCAAGTAAAATAAACAGCTCGCTTTCATACCGATAAACTTCAATCGAATCCAGAGTGCGTGGCCTGCGGTCAGTGCTGCCGAGCTACTTACGCATGGGAGGTGAAATAGTATAACATCTACACTACACCGTTCGCGTTGCTTTTTCAGCGGTAAACGGGAATAACGTTGGATTTTACACGATTTGGAGCTTTTTTCTTTTCGAACAAATATTAAAATAATCGTTATAAATATTTGAGAGAAATCGATATGGCCATTAGTTAGAGGGCGTACCTACAGGAAAATCGTTTGCTAAATTAATCAAAGCGTTTGAATCGCGTATATGCACGCGGAGCGAGAGTTATTAAAATTAATTTGAACCAGATATCTAACGTGTGTTCAAAACTGGTACATGCGAAATTCAGCGCGTGACGCAGGTGTACCCTTATACAAATTAATCGCACCGGCATTTCATTTATTCATGTTACACGAGCTTTCATCAATATTTCAATGTACATATACATAGGGGGGGGAGAGAATTTCGTTCGACATGTATTTGCTTCGTTGAATTTTTTAAGGGTATTTTTTGTATTGCGTGCTTCAAAGACGTTCCTGGAAAAACTGTATCATGGGATCGGGCTCGTCGTGACAAGGTTCATTATTATACATATTACCAATATGAAATATTAAATTGAATATAACTCGTGTGTTGAATCATCACCAAGAAAAAAAAGTACAACCTATGCTGTTTGTTTGTCTTTGCAAGCCCGATCCCTTGGTAGAGTTAATTTCGGTATTCCTGTGGGGAATAAATTTTTCCCATAAAAAAATTTTTTAAAAAATTCCTGCTCACGAGTGTATAACCAAGGATAAAAGTTGTTGAAGATTCCTTATCCACGAGATAAAACGTGATAAGATAGACGCCGGGGGTACAAGAGCTCCTATACTTTTTTGGTCCAATCTTCGATATCTCCCCCCACGTTATTGAAGGAAAAACTCGTTTGCACACGCGTATCATGTATGTATACACATTGCAGGTGATGTACGCGAATTCGACGTAAATTTCTTCTTTCCTACCGCTCGTTTTATCAGCAAAAGATCGCCCCGATAGAGTCAAATGTCATGCCATTATACTTGGCCGGACCGAAAATTCGAAATTAAAGCTGATGCTCTCTCGATCAAAACCATGCAAGAGCGAACAGTGTTTACTTCCTTTCTCTTTAAAAATAGAAGAAGGAAAAAAGCAACTTTGGAAGGGGACGGTATACAGTGTCCAATGGTTATGATTCGCACGCGCGTCCAAGAGGGGGGGGGGCAATGTATCTGATCTGCGCGTCACGTACCCTCGCTCTCGGAGATATTGCTCGCGTGCACGCGCGTCCCGAGCGCGTGGCATGCGAAATTTACGATCGCCGAGGAGTAAATGACGGATGGTCCCTGGATTGCATTTATTTCTATTTTTTTATTTTCCCCTATATATTTGGCATTCGAGGGTAGATACACATGTATGACGTTTGGGGGGTTTTCGCAGATCCGTACGTGAAGGTGTGGCTGCAGTTTGGCGAAAAGAGGGTAGAGAAGCGCAAGACGCCGATATTCAAGTGCACCCTCAACCCGATCTTCAACGAGGCCTTCTCCTTCACCGTGCCCTGGGAGAAGATCAGGGAGTGCTCGCTCGACGTCATGGTCATGGACTTTGACAACATTGGCCGCAACGAGCTCATCGGCCGTATACTCCTTGCAGGTAAATCACATTTTATCTTTTTCATTCTTATTGACACATGTATAACGTAACTATTGAACAATCGATTAGACCGTATAGGCACGCATATTCCAGCGTTTGAACTAGAAAAAAAAAGCCTATTCGCAACAGGAAAACAACGGTAATCAACGGTACACGCATCGAAGTTGCCTCGTTGCGAACTACCCGTTGTTGCTGCCGAAAGTAACATTTCCGTCATCGAGAAACAACTACTGCGCAAAAAAAACGCATCTCTCGGTATTTACCTCTTTTTGTTTTTTTAGCTTCACAACGGGGAAATTAATGCAATTCCCGTGTTGCGAGCTCTCGGATCCCAGCCCCGTTTTTTTCGGGCTCGCACCACCATCGTGAAAAAAAAAAAAAAAATAATAAAGCAACAAACAAAAACTTCACCCGGGAACTTTCGTCATTTGCGTTACCCGCCGAGAGTCGGATTATTTATGGCAAAAAGCCCCAGCTGGCCGTAAAGTTTGTCCTTTTTCGTTGAGTACACCTGCACGTACACGAGACGGGGAGGGGGGGGGAGAATTTAGTTCGAGTACGACCGACGAATAAACAGCACGTATCCTTTGACATCTCGGGGCACGTGACAAAATTCACTTAGGGAGCCATGGAACATCATCTGATCACCCATAATCTGGGTATGCTTACTTGCCATTTAAATCCAAAAAAGTAATGTCGCTGTAAGTATACTATTTATCGTACGCACGGAACCAAGCATATAATTGTTTTGGCAAGCACGCGATGCGAATAAAAGTGCTCTCTAACGAGAGCTTCGCGCCGACACCACCACAGACGGGGGGTATAATTCAAAGTAACGGAGGTGAGGTACACAGTATACGCCCCGCCGGTGGGGTGGAAAAAAAAAAAAAAAACAGAGCCGAACGAGCGGTATGCGACAATTCTTCATTAGTCTCGTTACGTGCGGTGTACGCGGAACGAAAAAGAGAAACGTTGTAGGGAGGAAGGGAGCGAAAAAACGGGGGAGGTAAAAACCGAGGCGGAGTATCGTCGCGCGTGCAATACGCGAGCTCGCACGTGTTCCATGCGCAGAACAAGGGAGCGGGGGGAGGGTAAAAAAACAAAAACAGAGGTACAACAGCCGCAAAGTAATGCGAAATAAAATAGAAGGGGCCGGAGGGGTGGACTTTGAAGAAAACATCCGGGGATGCTGAGCGTGTGTACGGAGAGGCCGAAGGGGTGGCATGTAGCCACTGCATCATACATATTACATGTACACGTACGTGGAAAAACAAAAGACGAAGGAGTAAGACGAGATCTCTGTATGTGTGTACGGGGCGCGCGCGCATCCTCCTCGCGATTATTTTTCGGTCGAGGGATCTCCTTCGAGCCGCGGTTGTTCAGCGAGGCCCTTTAGGAAAACGGCGTCGATGTGACGCGCGAGATTTCCCCCTCTTTTTCGCTTTTTACTTTTTTCACTCGCGTGGAAGCCGCCCGCGGACCTTGACGAGCAGAAATTGTGTATATGTGTACATGATACAAGTGACGGCTGTTACGCACGAACGCCTCGAAAAAAGAGCCCTCTTTTCTCCACTGTCCACGGTATCTGTGCATTTGGCCAATCTTCTTTTTTTTTTTTTTTTCTTCTTCTTCATCCACGCTCGGAGGGATGTAACCGAGGGCTCGCTTTTTTATCGGATGACGGATGCTTTTCGAGGGCTAATGAATCAGATTTTCGCGCAGTATACATCAAACGCCTTTATCCCAGGCGTGTTTTTTTGTACCGATCGTTTTCCATATAGTACGTGATTTATACACTTTTCCACGATAACTTTGTAAAATTTAACGTGCGAGTCCATCGTTAAAAGTACATGCACAACGAGTATAAGTAACGCGCTCGATGAAACAGCATTGTGCATATGCGGTATGCGTGGATCGATGTACCTGTCCGGCTGACAAAGCCACACCAATTTCGGCTCGGACTCGCTAATAAGCCACTGCCGATGCTCGGACTGTGTACAATGGCGCGCAGATATGACCGTGTGTATATGTAATCAATGGGTTGCCCATTTGGCAGCCATAATAGGCGCGCGACGATAGTTAAGCCCGAGTCCGGGAGTCTCCCCGCTAAACGCGCGATGCCATATACATCGGTACACGTACTAGGTATACATATTATATGTATGTACTTTTGAAAATGATATACATCACTGCGGGTGACACATATTATTGTGACATTAGTTGTGCTCGACGCCACTATGGGCGCAAGTATAAATCATCATCGCACAATTTAGTTGGCACAATGTTATACATCATACATCGTCCTTTCGAAGCAAAGTTGTAAGGAAAAAAAAAAAAAAAAAAAAAATGTTCTCAGGTAAAAACGGGAGCGGTGCGAGCGAGACGAAGCACTGGCAGGACATGATAACGAAGCCGAGGCAGACAATCGTGCAGTGGCATCGCCTCAAGCCCGAGTAAAGCTCTCCTGTGTGATGCACACCAGGGAAAAGGCCGTACAATCAGCCCAACATCGGTAGCGATCGGCTCTGGCGCGGTACACCTGTACACGATCACCGCAGGCGAGCCGGCAGGCGAAGCAGCCCGACGAAATTATTACGCTTCTATCTCCCTCTCACACGAGCACCCAAAGATATTACTATACACCCATCTCTCTCCCTCTCTTTGACTCGCGGCGTGCCCGTGAGCACGACAGGTCTTCCTTCGCTGCTCCAAGGATGTCCGGGGAGAAGGAGCGAGTTCTTTGGGGGAGAAAAAAAAATATATCTTCGCCCCACCAAGGAGCGGGAGACACAGTTTGCTCGCTGCAACACGATTTACCTGTGCGAACCCGAGGGCCGAGATCGTCGAACCGAGTGTGATACTGGCAGGAGCGGCAGCGCTGTCCTCGGCTAATAATAATATTACATCATTATTACAATTACATAAGAGATAGTCCGTAGTTACGATAATAGGGTAGCAAATAATCTGTTTATTGTCGTCTAGTGTACATTATTACCTCTCGTTTTTGTTATCTCTCGTGTATATATACATACATACATGATTATGTACTCCCGCGATATTCTTGCTAGATAAGATGTGTCGCAGTTTTGTCTGTCGGTATAGATGATTTTTTTTTTTTTTTTTTTTTCTTTCTCGCGACTTGTAAGAAGTCGAGGGGGAAGAGGGTGACATAAAGCACACAGCGGACAAAACTCAAAGGCTCGCTAGTGTTTTTGATAGCGTAACTTCGTACGAAAAATATCTATATATATATATATGTGTATGAATTTACGAGTCCCCCGCGTCGTTGGCTGCGATGCGGATAAACAAAGTAGTTTTGTAAAAAGTACGCGATGTATATCCATTGATCGCTCGGTCGGAGGGTGTGAAAGGGCATCCCCCAACCCCCATCCGTTTTTTTCATATACATACAGCGTCAGCACTTGACTTTACGTACAATAAGTAAGTAGCTTTCGTAAATATTAAGGAGTACCCACGTGCGATGTACTGTATATACATACATAGAAGTCGATACGAGTGGGATAAGGCGCAGTTGTCGTTTGGATGCGACGACTAATTATACGTGTATTTGCGATTAGTTGCCTGTTTTGGAGATTTTGTTTTTCGTGTTTTGAGTATGAGAAACTTATGGTACGTACGTTTGGACGGATGAAGGGAGAGTTGAGTGGAAAAACGTGATGGTATACGGTAGGCGATTACTGGAACCTGCGTTTACGTGACTAAATTTGAACGTCTGATTAACAAACAAAGGAAAATGTAAAATTGCCATCGATCGATTTTAATGTGCGAAAATATCTTGACGTTATAAATTTCCACGCCAATGAATTGCAATGTGAGACGGGGTAGTGGAATTTCACCTACTCGTACCGATCAGGGTAATTTTTATACACAAATACATGGTATTTACCGATCATTGATTTATTAATTTTTTCGATCAGTATTTATATACAGAAGTTTTGTGAAAAAATAATGAAAAAAAAAAACAATACGCGAATTCGAGACCAATCATCAAAAAGACATTTTGACAAAACTCGAAAACAAGTAAAAAGGAGAAAATACAGTCCTGCTACAATGAAAAAACTCGATCAGGTGGAGAAGAAATATTGCAACACAAGTGTAGTGGAAAAAGTTTGATCGATTCGCGCGAGGGAACAAGCGACGCATATATTTGACGCTGATTAATTGCATTTGGGTAAATTTGAGCACAACCGCGGGTATTCCAGCAACAAGTGCCAGATAAGGAGGCGCGAGTGGTTGTGAGCAAAAAGTTGATGCTGTTGTTAACAATAATTTTAAAAAAAATCGAGACAAAACTAGAAAGCGAAATGCCTTTGAAGACCTTTTGATGCTCTTGTAAGATGGAGTAATACCATATTTATGATATATATACGCGATAAACGAAAAAGACTCTTTTCCATCTCTTTGTTCATTACAGCACGTGCAGCAGATGGAAAAAGAGTCTGTCAGTTTCCATAAATTACACGCGCGGACAACTGTTTCGAGGTGCACGTGCAGTCTCTGTTTTATTATTTTTGCGCGCCAGAGTCGCTGACGGCTACCGTGAAATTGAAAAGTTCCACAGGACCCCTGTCTCCCTCTCTCTTGCACTACTCATCTCATCCATGTATCTGCCGTCGCAGCTACTTTTAGTTCGATAACAATATACATACAATGGACTAAACGCACTTGCACGTAATTGAATTTTCGTCCGCCACGGTGTGGATTACGCGGTCCGAAAGCTCAGCAAAAATTCAATTCTTCGTTCGTACGACTCGACATTCATTTCCGTCATCGAGATCAAACACAGCGATTTGATGCACCGAGATTATACCGACGCTCAACGGTACCCCGCGGCTAATTAATCCTCGGTGCTACTGTCTCGTGTCTCCGTTTACTCGCCAAAGTCCAGCTGGGACCGAGCAAACATGCCTTTTGATTAATATAGGACCCGGCGACAAATAACTTGATTGATACTACTCGAGTAAGTATTCATCCGGGGCTGTGCGCGTGCATTCGTGTACGGAATGCGGAACGTACCTACCCAGTCTCGTATTTGCATGCCGGCTTTGTAACAATTGCACCTGCCGTGTAACGCGTGAGTGAATTAGCATCGGTCGCCGTGCCAATGGTATCACTCGAGTATATACTGTACGTGTGGACGAAAAAAAAAAAAAAAAAAAGACATAAATGTGATTGTTCCTCGGCGCGGAAACTAATTTGAGTCGGCAAAGTTGATGATGGGGGGAGTGAGAGAGGAGGCTCCGAGATGAGATGGGGCTCTCTTTCGTAATCCGAGGGCAGAGGAGAAAGTGAAAAAAAGAGAGCGATACAGATGGAAGGGCGAAAGCGCAATAAGAACATTAAACGCGTTCTCGTGTCGAAATTGGCTTTGTGCGGAATGGAAGGGATTATTTTGATAATTATTCTTATTTTTTTTTTTTAATGTTACTGTACCACGACTGATTATACTTTTTAATCGAGTGTAAACCTCAAAAAATTGATTTTCCCAGCATTGGTATTACAACTTTTATGGACTCTCGTTTTTCACACCTGTCTCAAATTGATTGTTCCATCTAATAATTTCCATTAAAAAAAAACAGAGTTTAATCAAACGTTCATTGTATCTCTGGCATTAAATATCGCGCAAATCAAAATCGGCACAATACCCCACGAATATGCAATAGGAACATCTAGATGCTTTTTTTTTTGTAAATACCATACTGACAAATTTTTTACATCGATCAAAGCTCAAAATGGTCCTCACATGCATTTTCACGAGTAACAAAAGAAAAAAGTGTTTGCAATACATCGGTAAGTGACGTGAGTAAAAAGTTATTGTAAAAGAAACGCTTATTGATTCTAAAATGTAACATTTGAATTGCGTACGTCTACAACTAAAGTATAATTTTCACGTGAAAGGATACAAATGAAACTTGTGTTAGTGATTTTTGAAGTAAGAAAAAAAAAAATTTGTAAGTTCGTAGCTGTTGTACGAGGCAGTGCGTCAAGTGATAATGTGAATATTAAAAATACGTATAGCGAGCGCATCGATGTGTAGATTAAGGTAAAAATTTTTTTCCAATTTCAAGAGCTGTGCGCGTCGAAAATGTGTAACCCGAGAAACGAACGACCTAAGTAAAAAAGGAAAAAACAACACGCGAGTATACTTACAGTGAAAGTATCAAAAGGTGTGCACAAAAATCGAGTGAAAAACGGAAGACTTCCAAACCCATATTTACGTGGGCCCGCGTGTGAAGTATACCAAGCGCGCCCGCCGCTTATGGTGGATTTCTATAACGAGAGTCTAAAAAAATTTCAAAGCGCGAGCCAAAACAAACACTTGCGCCAACTAATATTTCCCGTTTCATTATAGCTCTATATCCCCTCTGACTCTCTTTTTCCGTCATCCCCCATGTTTACTCAAGATAAAATTAACACGTATCAACTGAAAATCGCTATCATTACTACCTATATGCGTAAGAAAAAATATTAATAGTAATATCAAGTGCAAAGCAGTACATAACTATATATAAATACGTGTATATTGAAATAATAAACGTCGTATAGAATTAAGATAAGGCAAAAAAGCAACAACAACATAAACAAATAGGTCATTTTTACCGATGACGCGTCTGTGCGGTTATTATTATTATTATTATCATCATCATTAGTATGACGAGGATAATATTATTGGTGATACGAATTGAATACCCATTACAGTATACATATATGAATACATGTACAAAAGTAATATAAAAGTGAAGCGCTTACATATTATATTATATACACGTGCGTACATGATGAACAATCACGAGGAGTGAGAAACAAAAAACATGTATTTATTATTATTATTATTATTATTATTATTATCATCCGTGCGTAAATACATTTAAGAATCTGTGCATGCGAGTAAGCCGGTATTATCGTGCATACCCACAATTAATACACGTGAGAGAGAGGCATGGAAAGCGAGGAAAATTTTTGTCGAAAAATCAACAAAAAAAAAAAAAAAAAAAAAAAAAAAAAAAAAAAAAAAAAAAAAAAAAAAA